AGGTGTCTAAAAGAGACGGGTCTGGGACCACAAATTCTCATCGCGCTTGCGCAGCACGTAGAGGCGTATATTCACCGCAACGACCAGCTCGATGTACCCGACAAGCCTGTACTTTTCACCGTCGACAAGTTGCGCTCCGACATGCTCCAGTATATGGAGCTCCTCCGAACATACCTCTCTGTGGACGACTTTGACGCTGTTTTCCCTTCTCTAGTAGAGATGATAGCGGACTACCACATCGCGCCAGATGTCGCCTTTACCATCGCTCGTACGAGCATAGCAGCCAAGGCCAATGCTTTCCGGGTTGAGCAACGCTCGAAGTTAGTCCTCGATGCGCAGACGAATGGCGATGTTGCCATGAGCGGTGTGGAAGAGGCGCCAGCCGTGAACGGAGAGCAAGAGGCATCGAAAGGAACCGAAGACGTGGAAATGAAAGACTCCGCAGCGCCTGCAGAATCTACTGGTGCTACTTCGGATAAGCTATCTTTGGCCGATGTACCAAACGCGGAGATTGAAGGTCTTGCGAGCCAGCTCAAACAACAGCTACCCGACGCCTTCGGCGACTATCCCTGCCTATCCTACTACGTCACCTTCTGGCAGTTGTCTCTGCCAGACGTTGTCGCTGATGCGGAGAGCCTCAAGCAGCTATACAAGGAGTCGATCGAAAACTTGGAGCGACAGCTGCCCGCCCCTGTTCCCGAGCGCCGCGGCTACCGACCCAACGTACCCAAAGTTGATTCCGAAGCAACGAAGAGTATCAAGGAGAACATTGCCAGGCTTAAGGAAGAACAACAAACTGTCACCAAGAACCACGCTGCGACGCAGGATAGTCTCCGCGTTGAGTTGCGCCGATGGTTCGAGGGTATTCCAATGATGGGTCCGCAGTGCGACCTCCTGCACAACGCTTTGCTTCAAGATTGCTTCATTCCTCGCAGTCGCATATCTCAAGAAGATGCACAATATGCATTCTCCATGCTCATCTTCATGCACAGCTCAGGTGTGCCAGGATTCCGCATGAGCAGATTACTGGATATGCTCTTCAACGCCAACAGACTTACGTCCATCATCAGCATGTACACTGAAGCAGAGTCCTCATCTTTCGGCCGTTTCCTTGGTGGCATCTTGCGTGAATTGCAAATTTGGCAGGAGAACAAAGATGGTGCTTTTGTCAAGCGCGCCCAAGGTTCAGAGAAGAACCTTCCTGGCTTTGGCAGGGGCTACGACGGAGAACGAAACCCGACAAGCTTCTTCACGTACGATCAGTTTTGCATGGTCTTGTTTAAGTGGCATAAGGCTCTCGCGGCTGCGCTCAAGACATGTCTGGAGAGCGGGGACTATATGCAGATGCGTAACGCCATCAACGTCCTTCACGCACTGGGTACCAATTTCCCCAGAGTGAAGAGTTTGGGCACCGAGCTGAAGGAGACGGTTGCTCACTTGAAGGAGGCAGAGGAGAGGCAGGATCTTAAGAGAGCTTTGGAATCTGTTCTTGGTCCCATCCTCAAAGGAGAGAAGCTTTGGCAGGAGGACCATGTCTTCCGCAACGTGAGTTCATCTCCATCGACACGTCCACGGCAGCGAACTAATACGCCTCAGGTACCGGCGCCACCTGGACTTCCGACAAATGGAAGTGAGAAGTCGACTGCGGAGAAGGGTAAGACTCCACAGCCACAGGACACGAAGCTCGACGCATCTGCGCCTGCCTTTAAGCCAAAGCCCGAAACGTAAGTTGACAAATTGCGCCCACATTACCAACGGTGAAACTGATCGACATCTTCCAGAAACGGTACTCCACTACGCGAATCAAACGACAACAGGTCGAAGCATGATAGCACAACCCCTGCGCCTTCGAGAGATAGAGAACCATTCAGGCCAACGCCAAAAGCCTCCGACAGTAGGCCGTCCACGCCATCGCAACCGGAGACAGGTTCTGGCAGGCCTCCAATCAAGGGCCCTCCGATGCATCCATCGTCGGTTCCGCTACGACCGGATAACAGAAACACGCCTGGTCACAACACCCCAGTCGGTAGAACGCACGCACTGCCAACACGACCAGACTCGCAACCTAGGACAAGACCATCGGAACGCCCCATGGTCGACCGTACACCAGAGGCCGCGCATGGTCGATATGACAGTCGGGGTCCCCCAGCCGAGTATGGCCGACTAGATCGTACGGCGGATGCTGCACGTCAGCGTGAGGCGTCACCAGGTCGGCGCGGTGGGCGACCGCTACCTGGTGGCAGAACACCCGAGAGGATGCCTCCAGCGGCCGAGCATCGCGAATGGTCTGGCAGAGAACGCGATTACGATTACGATGAGCGGGCTATGCGAGCACCTCCGCGAGATGGGCGAGCGCCTGCGGTACGACCGCCCACATGGGATCCAAGAGACCCTTACGATGCGCGGGATTCACGTGAGCGTTCTGATCCCCGAGGTTATCCTGCACCTCCAGCAACGGAGCCTCGCAGGATGCCGTCTACTTCATCATTGGCCAACGAATACCGCCGAGATGGTCCCCCAGTCAACGCCCCGTATGCTGCGGAACAGAACGACAGATCTTCGCGACTCCCACCAGTGCCAGTCGCAGCCAAAGAAGAACCTACAGTCAATCCAGCGCGTGCTGCCTTGATCAATCAAGCAGAACATGGCAGACATGGACCACCGAGGTCTGATCGCGACAACCGTAGCGAGCGAGATGTTCGTTTGAACTCGCCTCGTCATAGCGATGATAGACGTGGTGATGACCGTCGACTCGAAGAACGCCCGCCTCCTGGATATCATGGACGTAATGATGCGCCACGGGATCCTCGGGATGAGCGTCCCCAGATGCCACCCTCTAGTGGGCGAAACCACCGTGAGGATCCAGGAGCCAGTGCTCCAACCGGTCCGCGCGGTGGTCGCAACGAAGCCGCTGTGACATCCCGGGCCTCGCGGGAGATGTTCCAGCCTACACCTGGACCACGGGCACAAGACCCCAACTATGGCCGGCTGAACCAGCCTGCAGAGCCGGCGCCGCCATCTGGCCCACGTAGCGATCGAACATCGCAGCCTTCAACACCGAGTGCACCCACCGGTCCCGCAGCGTCACTACCAGCAGGCATCCATCCTAGTAGGCTGGCACACATCGAGGGCAGAGCACCAAGCGGGCCACCACTCCAGACCAACATGCCGAATGCTCCAAGCGGTCCGCGTAACGGAGGTCGCGCTCCTCAAGGTCCTATCCCATCATCACCAGTTGGTCCGCGACCTCCCACAGGTCCTGGAGGACCTAGGAATGCCGGCAACCCACTACGTGCCATCAACAACGTATTGACTGGAAACGCGCCTGCTGATCGATCAAGCGAACGCAATGCACCTCATACCAACCCTCCGGTGCGTGGTCGCGGTGCTACTCGCGCCAACGGCCCAATGGACGGATCAGACATGACGAGCCCAATGCCACCGCCCTCGCTTGATTCAACGCCCAACCAGCACCCGAGGAGCAGTCGAAACGACGATGTACCGAGCAGGATGGAGGGCGCTCCACAAGAAGAAGGCCGTTCGGAATCACGCAGTCATCGACACCGATCAGGCCGCGAGCGCTCACCCGATCGATCAGGCCGCCATCCCGAAGAACGAAGCAGCCGCACTGCCCCTTCTGAACGCGCAGAGGGCGAACGTGGCTCCGACCGCGGCCGCGAGAAACACGGCAGCAACCGAGAAAGCAGCCGTCGCGAACGCGGCGAACGAGACGGCGAACCGAGATCAGGACGTGAGCCTCGCGAAAGCAGCAGACGCGAGCGAGGCTCCCGTGACGACGGACGCTCTTCAGGAGCCAGGGAAGAAGGACGCTCGGATCGGAGGAGCCGTGGTGGCGGCGGAGGAAGCAGCCAAGGGGATGAAGCACGCAAGAGGGGACGCGATCCCCAGGATCAAGCCCATGGAGATACCAAGAGGAGGCGTTAGACGCGCCCTACTATTTCAGCATCAGCACTTACGAGTTTGGCGTGGATGAGGAGGGGATCTCGACACTTGAAACCAACAACACAACTTCATCAACAACAACATCTTTCAAGAACAAACTCAACTTCACTTTTTACTTCATTTCATTTCATTGTAATTCTTCGATATCTGGGACCAAGAGGGAAGAAATTGTGCATTGCGCGGCGTTTTTTGCTTGTTTGTTATATGCCCGCCCCGCCCATACAGAGCGTACTTTAAGGCATTTTACGATACCCCGAGGACGAAACAAACCTTTCTTGGTTCTCGAGCGCATTACAGAAAAAACGGATGAGCGGGAGATTTTGCATTATTGGGAGTTTTGATTGTTTGTGCGATTTCTTAGTAGATGGCTGGATTGGTTTCTGGTTGTCTTTTTATTTCTGCTGTTTGTAACATCATCATGCTGGAGAGGGGAGAGGAGGAGGGAGAGGCAGAGAGCGAGGAGTTAAGGATATGAGGGTAGATATTGAGTGAGCGCTAGTCAATGGACGTGGAAGACATTCTGAACATCTTTCTTGAGGAATGTGATATCAGTGACGAACAAACACCCCATTAACATTCTCCATCGACACGCTCCTTCCTCCGCGGCACTACATATCCGCCATCTTACATACATGCATACATACAAGCGAGGCTCGTTTACTGATTTACCCGCCTCCCCGCCTCAATGTAAAATACCTCAGTCCCCCTGCTCTTGCATGTACTGTGGAGACTCCGCGGCTCTGGAACGGGCGGTAATTCTGCCGTCCGCTTGCGGGTGTGGGGCGATAGCGGCGAGATCTTGTCGTTTCATTTTGGAGGATTTAGAGTAGAGTGGATGGGGAAGGTGAGAAATGAGAGATGAGTACTTATGTAAGGGAAGGTAGGGGTGGTGCGTTGAAGCGGCGTTCGGCGGGTATAGGCCGTGTGGTATGCATTGGAGGTGCGTTTTGCCCTTGTGGGTTTTTGAATATGGGATAGAAGCGTCGACGATGTTTATGGATAATCTGGGTGTGCATGATGCAGAAGAGGTGGCTGAAATGGGTTGGTGTGCGCTGTGTAACGGGATGGGGATGCAGGCCTGGATAGGTATATAAACGATCTCGTCTAAAAAAGAAGAGGTAAATTGATCAAGATCAAATTGTAGCCAAGATGGTGTCTTCATTCATTCAGCTGCTTGTTAGCACTTTTGCCGTAGCAGGAGTCTCTGCTATACACATCACCGCACCACTAAACCAAACATACGACTACATCATCGTAGGAGGAGGCACATCAGGCCTCACGGTCGCAAACAGACTAACAGAGAACGGAAAACGTAAGTCCCAATCCCAGCCTCCCATCTCCAACTCCTACCCTCCCATTCTAACATTCCACACAGACACCGTCCTCGTCATCGAATACGGCAACCTCGTCAACGACCCCAGCATCCTCGTCCCAGCCAACACCCTAAGCTTCGCCCCAACCCCGGAGCGCTACTTCAACTTCACCCCCGTCCCCAATCCCGGTCTCAACAATGACACTACGAGCCCGCTCGCAGCCGCCATAGTAGGTGGCAGCAGTGCCGTAAACGGCATGTTCTTCGATCGCGGCAGCGAAGCCGACTACGACGCTTGGGAAGCCCTCGGAAACAAAGGCTGGGGCTTCAAAGACCTACTTCCATATTTCAAGAAATCCGTCACTTTTACGCCGCCGAGTGAGGACGTAGCGGACAAGTACAACTACACGTGGGATGTTGAGGCGGCGTATGGCGGACATGGCGAAATCCAGGTATCGTTCCCACCGTACCAGTTCCCAGGTCAGAACCGATTGTGGGATGCGTGGAAAGAAATTGGTGTGGAGAAACCGAAGGAAGCTGCGGCTGGGAATGCGATTGGTAGTATTATGGCGCCGAGTGCGTTGGATCCTGTGTTGAGGACGAGGAGTTATGCGAGAACGGCGCATTATGAACCGTATGCACAGAGGAGAAATTATCATCTTTTGACGGGGTACCAGGCGACTGAGATTTAATTCAAGGAGGGTGACGAGCCAGAGGCTGAGGGAGTAGGTATGGTGAAGGTGGGCGGCACGGAGAAGAGTGTTGTGAAGGCGAGGAAGGAGGTCATCGTTGCGGCAGGTGCGATTTGGACACCGTGGTTGTTGCAGCGCAGCGGTGTTGGTCCAAAGAGTGTTCTCGAGGGGGCTGGTATCGCGGTGAAGAAGCATCTACCGGGTGTAGGTGCGAACTTCCAAGACCATCCATTTGGAGGCAGTGTCTGGAACTGGACGACCAACCCATACTTTCCCACCGCTGGAGCTCTAGCGACCAACCAGACCTTCTACGCCGAAGCGGAGAAAGAGTATACCCAGTCGCGCGAAGGCCCTCTTACAACATCGCGAGGCAATCAGGCTGCCTTCCTACCCCTCAAAACCGTCGACCCAGAAGGTTGGCAAGCCCTTGTCGATGCTGTCGCGGCTCAAGATCCAACTCCTTACCTCCCAGCACAATACGATGAAACGCTCATAGCGGGTGCGAAGGCCATACACAACATCACCGCCGAATACCTCGGACGTGACGATGCCGCAGCCTTTGAATTCACCTTTGCAGAAGGACCCATAGGAAACGCTGCGATAATGCGCCCCTTGAGTCGCGGCACCGTAAACATCAACCCAAGTGATCCTGCATCAGGACCACTGGTGGACTGGCGCACCTTTTCCAATCCCTTGGACATCAAATTCGCCGTGCAAATGGTGCGCTTCTCGCGCCGCTTCAACACCCTTTCGTCCTTCTCTGGTCTCGGTGCCGTTGAACTCTCGCCTGGATCCAATGTGACGACCGATGCTGCGATTGAAAGGTATTTGCGCAGTACGATGGATCCGACGTTCGTTCACATGGCGGGTACGGCGTCGATGCTTCCGGAAGAACTTGGCGGTGTGGTGGGAACGGATTTGAAGGTTTATGGCGTTGGGAAGCTGAGTGTGGTTGATGCGAGTATTGTTCCGTATTTGCCGGCGACGCATCTTTGTACGACGGTTTATGCTATTGCGGAGAAGGCGGCTGATGCTATTAAGGCGAGGACGGGGTGGGCTGAGTAGGAGTGCTGGCGCAGTGTATGAAGCGACTGGCTAACACAGTTGCCCAAGTCTGTTTTTAGATTTTCGATCAGAGAATGTGGATTATTTCTCTTTCACCACCCATAAACAAGTTGCATGATTCCCCATAGAGGGTCGTTGCGCCAATTCTGCGGTACTCTTGTTTGTCGGCGTCAAGTGAACTCAAAACGAGAAGCCCCATCTTGCGACCTGAATGAGGTTCTTCTCCCACGTAGCAGGGTACACCCCAGGCTTCGAATTCATTGGATGGAGGATCGTTGGCGCAGGCAGTCTGACTGGCAGCGTCTTCCGTTGCTGAAGAGTTTAACAAGCCCATCCGGCTATCTCGGAACCTCCTTACCACGTGGTTGTATATTTGTACTGAATCTAGAGACACTAATTGAATGTGGAGTTTTGTAGATGGGTCGAGTGCATCGACCGGCAAGAAGTAACTGCCATCGCGCGTCGGGGCGGGTTGATGCGGTACCAATAACATCCTTCGTATCCTTGCACGGATAGACAGTCTGGCGGATGTGATGTGACCGAAGGCGCCAAGAGGTCCTGGTAGATGTGAGACTTCCAGATTGACAACCTGTACTTCTTCTTCAGATATATCACTTCGATCTATATACGTCGGAAAACGCACGAACGTGTCACGTGTAGAAGCCCACGACCACGTTGGCGCAAGGTAATCGGGAAAGTCTTCATCGTTGGGTCCTGATCCGGTTCTGCCAGACCCCCTTATTGTAGAGTAAGCCCGCCAGCATAGCCCAACTGAGAGATCTTCTTTCCACAACCCGGCGGCATATGTGAGGCCGTAGCTCTTTTGAATCCGACTCGCCAAGCCTCCAAGTGCCAGTAGTCTATCGGAACTGACACTCAACGACCTGGCGCTGTAGTCACTAGCCACTTCGTACCATGTATCGAAGTGATTTCGCCTTCCAAGAGGGAGAGGTAGTGACATGGAGAAGATGTCTGGTCGTCTTACCATAGACCGCATCGCCTCATGAGTTCTCTCATGCGGGTGTCGAACTATATCTTTTTGGTCACCAACTACACATCGTGTATCCATACACGGAGTAGCTTCGCCTGCTATGGATGTAACGCAGAACCAATCGACCGAGATAGGACCAAACGCCAGTAAACGTCCCGAGAGCACTTCCTCTTGAAGTACCCATCCTCTTTTTCGCAGAGCACTGACGTAGTCCATAATGATAGGCTGAATTGACACAACTCTAGTCACACATTTTCTGCCTTGTTTCATGGTTACTTGAACATTACACGATTTGCAGCTTCGGGCATCGCGTTTAGCGAAGAGCCCCGCATCGGTGTTTGGACCATTCGCTGCGAAGATAGTCAAGACTGACTGTCGGTAGATATCCCCCATCCTAGCCATCTCTTTTGCTACATCTTCGGGGTCATCCTGGATGATACAAAGAGCATCTATCCATAGGTAACGATGTCCAAGAGCGCGGGTAACTTGTAGAGCGTCTTTAAAGGTTCGAGGCATCGAATCATCGACTGGTAACCTTTGCTTGAACTGTTCATATAAGCCTGATCCTTTTGTGCATAGTAGTTTCTTTCCTTCGCCCCAGCAATAACTCAGAGTCAAGTACTCCGCCTGTATTCCCTGGGTTTCCGTGATGCGAGTTTGGCCGTCGATGTCGATCTCAACAACTCTGGTGGGTAGTGGCGGTGGTGTTTTCGATGAACCTTCCAACTTACAAAACCGATGTTTTTTCTGACAAGCTTGAAGCCATGTCTTTATCAAATCCATGTTGTTGGTAGATCCTGTATGGTTGTCGACGGCTGAACCGATCAGATTAGATTGCTCTACGGTTTGTGATGAGAGAACGCATGAAAGATCAAGCACGGCTATGATTTCGTCTATGTCTCATGTTAGCTGGTATTACATGAAATGTACTTATCTGATTTACCGGAGACAGGGCCGCGTATACAAAGTGGAAATTCCTCTTGCCCATATCGCACGGTCATAGAGGACGGGGCTTGATTCTGTGGCTCAGAGGGATCCCGCCAAGGCTGTGACATCAAGAGAATGATTGGTGCAGTTTTATGATCGAGTTCGTGATGCACATGAGGCTCATAAGCAGATTCGTATCTTCGCGACAGTCGAAACCAGATCATGGCACATACCCGGCATCCACGACCAGCCGACGCCTCCAGTACTTTCATTGAAGGATGATGCACGCTTGCAAGTACCTCTTTCCCCCAAAAGCGTAGAGATGGGATCTCCTGGTCGAGCTCCTCTGGTGGCACGAAGATGAGATTTTGACAAAGTTGGCAAAGCATTGCGCGATCCAGCAGCGCTTGTTCGAAGTGGCAGGGCAATGCAAATTCGGTGACGGAAAGTATTACGAGTGTTGGGTGGTAGGGGAGTGGAGGTCAATGTTGGTTTGTCGATGAGGGGTAGGTCAGTGTGGCACGGTTACTGTGTGAACAGGATCGGGCAGCTACGACCAGGATGCATAGTAACAAGCGGTTCCGAGGTCTCGCCTATGATTTAGCCTCGCTGAATACAAGCAGTACGTCTTGTTCTAGGCTGTTACAATCGCCGACGTCACGATACCTCCGTGACAGATTTCGTACCGATTCCAGAATATGTATGATGATGTATCAATTGTTTTTTGGGCGTTCCAAGGCCGCGACATCTAAAGGGTATCATATCCATCAATCATTGACTTGGCCGTATCACATCTCGCTCACTGCAGCCTTCCCTCATTCCTGGACCTGCTTTTCCACCACCGCCTATTCCTGACCCCAAGTATCATCATCCCCAATCTCCCCCACAATCTCCACGCCCTGCTCCTCCTGAAAAGCAACCTGCTTATTCTTCCCCCTCTTCTTCTTCCCCTTCCCATTCTCCTTATTCGCACCATCACCAATCGGATTCCCATCCTGATCAACACCCGCAAGTTCCCTCTGGCGTTTCCTCTCCTGTGCTTCCGCTTTTGCCTTGGCGATTTTCTCCGCATACTCTGCTTCCTCTGCCGCCATCTCGCGCTTGATCCTGTCCGTGTCGGCGAAAGAGGCCTCGGTTTTTTCCGATTTCTGCAGGAACGTATTCCAGCCGTCGCCGTTGATCTCGCAGCGGCCTTGGAGAGCGGCGCGTATGTCGTCGGGGTTGTCGCGTTCTTCGCGGGTGAATTTGGTTTTGATGGAGCGGCGGGTGAAGCCGGGGAACATTTGGGATATCATCTGGAAATCGGTGCCGAAGGATCTGAGGCCCTCGTAGAACAGGTTCGTGAGGTCTGTGGTCCAACGTCGTCCTTGGCCGGGCAGGAGGAACTCGTTGGGGAAGCGCTTGTTGTTTTTCATGAAGCTGCGGGTTGTGAGGCGTGCGGTGATGTCTTGGTCTTCAACGACGGTCATGTCGCTAATGAGACGGTCTGCGTCGCCCTCTCGGTCGATAAATACAGTGGTGGGATCCATTTCCATCTCGCCTGCTGCGTTCACACGAAACCTGGGTCCCGGTTCAACCTGTGAGGCCGCTAGCTCTGCTCCTGCTTCTGCCAAAAGTCTGTCCTGTTTTTCCTGATCTGCTTTCGAAGGGATGTTCTTGTTGTCTTCTTCTCTTCGACGTTGCTTAACGGCATCCCAATCGATGGTACGCATTTGCTTTTCCCGTGAAGACAGCTTTCCAACGCGAAGATCCCGGGCTGCTAGAGTATCCATATAGGTTTCATTGGGGTCAATCGTCTGGTCTTCGGCATCGGATGGTGTGGGCTCTCGTGGCGGTCGCCCCTTCCGTTTCTTCTCCCTGACTGCGCCTTCTTCGCCTTCAACTCCATCGACCTCTTCGCCCTCTGGAGTGACCCTTCTCCTCCTCTTCGCTTTGGGTTTGCGACGCACGGCTGCTGCTACAATCTCATCTGCTATGCGGCCGACTTCATTTTCTGGGCCTTCGACGACCTCGCTGCTCAGAGGCCCCTTGGTCTTTCTTGGCTTCCTGGTTTTCTTCACTGGCGCTGGAGCTTCCTCGCCATCTTGTGTAGCGGGTTCGATGGCCTTCTTTCTTGCGCGGGGCTTGGCGGCAGCTCGTTTCCGGGTGGGCTGAGCCTCTTCTTCGTCTTCCCCTTCTTGTTCAACGTGTTCTGCATCTGGGTCTGCTGCAGCGGCCTTCTTCTTGCGTGGCTGGCGAGGCTTTCGAGTCGGCACCGCAGCCGCAGCCTCTTCTTCGCCCTCTGGAGGGTGGTTCACCGCTGCCCACGGAAGCTTCCTCCTCTTTCGCGGTTGTGGAAGGGCCTGGGCATCTGCAGTAGGGGCGGGGACATTCGGGTCGGCAGTCTGTTCGCCGGCGTTGTTCGCTGGTGCCGGCGCATCGACAGCGGCCGTGGCTTCGACCTCTGGCTGTGGTTGTGCAGCTACTCCGTTTTCTCGTTGTACCGACTGTGACGGGTCCGTGGTATCTCCTCCACTTGTAGCGACATCTTGACTAGCTGGGGTGCCTAATTGTACGGGTGGTTCTATACGACGCCGCTTGGGTGACCTGCCGCCATCGCCCGCATCTTCCAAGTATTGGGTAGTGAGACCCCGGTCTGTCGAAGGCTGTACAGCGACATGAGGCTCTTTCTCGGCTTGTGTCTGGGTGTCTATATTGGTAGGTGCTGGAGTAGGCAGTGGCTGGGTAGGGTTCGGGGTCGGTTGCGGAGGCGCTTTCGAAGACTCGGCTGTACTAGGGACAGCTTGGGGAGTAGTCGCTGGGGCAGGTGCTTGGGTCGCGGCTGGTGTAGGTAGCTCGGCGGTAGTCGGAGGCTCAGTCGCCGGCGCATTCGAGGGCTCTGGTTCGGCCTGCGAAGTTTGCGATTCGGCAGGCGCAGAAGGTGTAGGAGTGGGTGCAGCAGCGGCGGCCGGTCGTCGTCGTGCGGCTTTGGGTGCGAACTTTTTGCCCGTTGTATTCTCTGACCATGGCTTAGCAGAGTCGGCGCCGTTGCATGGGACGACTCACTATTAATAAAAGAACTAAAGGTCGCCGCCGCAGGTTTAGGCGCAGGCGCAGGCGCTTTGTCGCTACCGGCAGCAGGCGGCTGATTGGGAGCGTCGTCGGCAGCCATGTCTATGCAGCACTCGTTCACGCCAGGCTCTGGCTGCTCGCTCTCTTTCTCACATTGGCGGGCAGTGGTGGGGAATGTGCAGCACGCAGAGGGTCGCGTCGACCGACACAGACCACGCCCTAGCGCGACACTAGCTCTTGGCAGTCCACCTGGGCTGCTAACGAACTCTCTTCGCTCGACCTCCTCACCCACCGGCCTCACACGACACACCCGCCCGCCTGCCGCTGCCTCTCGCCCGCCCGTCTCCTGCGTGCCTGCCATCCGCTCCTTCATCTCCCTTTAATGACCTGAGAGCGCGCGCGTCTTCGCTGTCCTATCTCGAAGCCGGCGTCTCCTCGATGAGGCTCGAAGCCAGGACCGTCGCACCCCCATCGCTTGACGCCGTCAAGATGGAGGACCGAAAACGGCCCATTGCCGACGACGCTGCTCCTCCCGCTAAGAGGCAAGCCGTGACCGTCAACGGTGCTCGCTCCCACCCAGACGCTGACTTGCCGTGGAAAGATGACATCGAGGTTCGCCCCCCGATCACCTCCCGCCCTCCTCCCACGCCCACGGCGCACACACCCGCTGACCACTCGAATCTACAGTCGTTCCAGAAAGATGCCATTCTGCGCCAGATGCGCGAGTTCAAGCGCGAGAAGGCTACCGTCGAGTCACAACTGAACGAGCTGGAGGGCCGCTCCAAGTACCACGACGACCACCTCCGCACAATCGACGCTTGGTTTGATCAGGTCAGTATACCCCTGGAAGTTGATTGAGGTGATGCTAATTGCTGCTTAGCTTATCGATGAAATCAAACTCCTGGGCGCCGAGAAACTACCTGCATCATCGGGCGATTCCGATGCCTCGCAGTCGGTACCCGCTGCGCTTCTGTGCGAGGACACCCAGACGTTCAAGAAACACCTCTCGGACCGCAAAGAGAAGATCCTTGCATCCCTTTCCGACCTCTTTGCGAGATATCCTGCAAGCAGTCCTGAGGTTGCGAAGCTCCAACAGAAGCTGTCAGAGCTCTTGGTCACAGAGAAGGATCACGTTGTGCGATTGCAACGCGTCACTACCGAGAAGGAACAACTATCTGACCGGTTGGACACGGCTACTCATCGCTACCTGGTCGCTGAGAAGAAGCTCGATCGCTTGAAGAGCGCCCAAGTTCAGAAACTCGAGCAGCAAGCGCATGGGACGAGCGCCCCTGCAAAGGAAGAGGCTCCCTCTACCAGCAACGGAACAGAAGCAGTTAATGGCACCTCACCCGGACCGATCAGTGAAGAGTTGGAAACTGCAAAAAACCAGGCCATAGCCGAGGCAGCCAAGAGGAAAGAGCAGCTTGAGCAGATTGAGCAGGAAAACAAGAAGCTCACTGAGGAAGTCTCAGCATTGAAAGTCAAGCTTACCGGATTGTCGGATGATGATTATGCGAAGACCGATCTCTTCAAAGCTATCAAGAACCAGCATGAAGACGTGATCAAGCGAATCAACAACCTGGAAGCCACCAACATTTCCTTGCGGGAAGAAGCGCAAAAGTTCCAAGCAGAGCGAACAGCCTACAGGATCAAGGTGGACGATGAGGTTCGCGCTAGCTTGGCAGACAGTGCAAGCCACGTTTCGCAAGCGGAAGCGAACTGTGCTCGCATTCGAAACGCCCGTGACGAACTAGCCACCAAGAATAACCTCTTGGAGGCGAGCCACAAGGATTCCAAGGATTCTATCGAGCAGGCGAAACAGCTTGCGAGCGCATGCGACAGCCGCATTGCTGCACTCGAATCAGAATGCGAGCGACTGCGACTCCAGATTGCGGAGCAGCAGAGTTCAGGAGACCAAGAAATGTCTGGCTTAGAGGACTTGACACCGGAGCAGCTGCGCAGCAAGATCTCCAAGCTTGAGAGCCAATGCAAGATTCTGGGCAACGAACTCCCGTCCATGGAGTCGGCTTGGAAAAAAGCGCAGGCGATCGCGAGCAAGAAGATCACCGAGATTGCTGCGTGGGAAGAGAACATTGCCAAGGCACATGCGGACAAGGCCAAAGCGGATCAAAAGTTCTTCGCAGCCATGAAGACCAAAGGAGAACTCGAACAACAAATTCGCATCCTCCGTGCCCAGGCTACCAAAGCCACGGAAGTAGTGGCGCAATTGAAAGAGGCGGATTCCTTGAGCCGGTCACTGGTCGACAAGCTGGAGAAGCAATGTGCGGAAATGCGATCGCAAATGGACGATCTTTCTACCCAGCACCGCCAGCTGCAACAAAAGGTCAGCGAGAATGCCATCACTTCCGAGGGTCATGTCAGCCAGATAGCGGAGCTCAAGAAGGTCGTCGAGGCCAAGGACGCGACATGTCTCGCGGCAAAGCACGCCCAACGCGAATCGGAAACCGAGCGAGACAAGCTTGCTGCACAAGTGACTGGTCTGGAGAAGCAAGTGCAAATCTACAAGAAGAAGAGCACGGCCAACCAGAGCTCTGAAGTGTCGACGATGGAGCTGTTGATTCAGTGTCAGATCTGCAAGAGCAAGCTCAAGAACACGGTCATCAAGACTTGTGGGCACATGTTTTGCGACCAGTGCGTGCAGGATCGACTCACCAACCGCGCGAGGAAGTGCCCGAATTGCGGCAAGGCCTTTGGCAGCAACGATACCATGCGCGTCCATTTGTGAGAGCTCTGCAAACCGGATACCCTTTTCTTATTCCCTGCATTTTGCCACATGTACATCACCAGCTGCATTTCCTTCGGTACCCTTTCTTACCAGTTTACAATAGCGTTGAAGGCGAATTTTGAGGCCATGCACGAAGCAGTGCCTGGGACGTTGGTGTTTTGCGGGTGGCTTTCTGCCAAATTCATGGCGTTGGAGTTCGGCAGCGCAAGAGGGCGAGACAATGTACGATGATAGTTGCGATGCATGTTCAGACGACATGTGTTAGCATGTTTTACTAGATGCACGGAGTTCGTCTCTCGGTCGGCAATGTTTCCGCGGATGGGTTTAGATAAATTCCGTTGGCTCTGCGGAGCTCAGGCCTGGGATGGCCCAGAGAAAGAATGCAAACAAAGATACCATGTCCAATTTGTGTCATATGGTGTGATTCTATAGCCTTTGACTCACACTGGGCTGGTACCTTTGCTCGGTGCACTAGGCAAAGCGTTCATTGCGAGCCAATCATGCGAGAGCTGTCATTTCAAACTGAAAGCCGGATCCGGGATGTTTAAGTGGGTGGGCCCGTGAACGTAGGGATGTAAGGCTGAAGGCGCAGGGTATGACGTTCCTCGCCGTTGCCCCACGCGACAGGCTACCATAAACACCCTTGAGCAAGACTACTATAACCACGACCGCAATCCGCAACAAGATCCTTTCAGACAGCACCTCTTCAGCACAAACTACAACATCTGCAACTTGCTACACGACCTTGAAGACGTCCTTATCTGAAAACTTTTGATCAAGTCTTCCGCCTTTACATCAACCGCAACTACCCTACCGCAATGGCCACCAACGTCCTCAGCCCTCGCGACACCAACGCACAAGTCAAGCCCATGTCTTCCCCAGAGAAGGACGCCGAGAAGAAGGACTCCAAGAGCCTCGACTACCACCGTCAAGTTCTGCAGTCGCGCCTAGACAACCCACAGTGAGTTCATACATGTTCATATCCCGCTGCGCATCACTAACAATACTCCAGAGAGCAGAAGTTTGTCTCGCCGTCTGACGACATCATGAGCCCCGCGACACAGAAATTGCAGGCTTTCAAAACCAAGCACGCCATGAAGAAGTAAGCCGCTATCCAACTATATACCAGCGATAAATTGTAGACTAACGCACGTCTAGGTCGAAGCCGCAGACGCTGTTTAAGAAGACGAGCGCGAAGAACTTCGAGTCGAACAAGGGCAGCGGCACACTCATGTTCGCCGACATCCCCAAGAAGGACGCAAAGGAAGAAGACGCGTAGACACGGGCTCACAGCCATTCTTGTTCAGCGTGTACAGCATCGGTTTTCTTCTCAGGCGCAATTGTCATCTGTATACCCTGTTGCGGCTTGGATGCCCTTCTGATGATGGGCTGGTTCTGGAGTTTTGATTACGGATGAATGACTACGAGCCTCATGACTAGATATATTGATGAGACGAGACGAAATGGAACAACGTTATCATGCATTACTATCTTCAGACTAGGCCTATGCATGTGTAAAGCTGCATGCGCCCGAATGGATACCCCCGTCTATCTTGGGCATAGTCGCCGAGGCGCATGTTGTACCCTACTCTAGCCGCATCATCGTTCCCACGCACACGATGACACAACCACCGTCGGAGCAACAAGCCGTCCAAGACGAGATAGCCGATCTCGAAAGACGGCTTCAGGATGCGAAAGCCAGACTGAACCCAGATACCGTCGCAGCGACACCTTCCACCCCCGCAAACGACGCAGGTCCGTTATCGCTACACCCACCCACCCAACTCCCAACCTAACACCCCCCAGCCCTCCATGCGCTCCTCCTCCTCGCCGACTCCGCGCTCCCACTAGGTTCCTTCGCCTTCAGCTCCGGTCTAGAATCCTATCTCGCGCACCACAAACCCTCGCCGCCGTCGGCATCACAGTTACCCGCGTTCCACACCTTCCTCCGCTTATCGCTCTCAACACTCGCAAGCACATCGCTGCCCTACGTGCTAGCCGGGTACCGCACGCCGCAAGCCATCGAGACACTGGATAATGACTTCGACGCGAGTACACCGTGTACCGTTGCGCGGCGGGCGAGCATAGCACAGGGTCGCGCGTTGTTGGCGGTTTGGGATCGTAGTTTTAGGACGCAGTATAATGGGCCTAAAGCGACGACGTCTCAAGATGCCGTGGATGGGGTGATGGGTACTGAAGTCGCGATTAAAGCGCTCACGACCTTCTCCGCTGCACTGCGCACTTCAGAGCATATCAACGTGCATCTCGCGCCGCTGTGGGGTCTCGTCACGAGTATCCTAGCTGTCCCGCTGCAACAGGCTGCGTACTTGTTCCTCTTTTCACATGCACGCACTGTGGTTAGTGCGGCTGTGAGAGCGAGCGTTATGGGGCCGTATCAGGCGCAGGCGGTTCTTGCGAGTGCGGAGCTGCAGGATAGGATTCGGGGGCTGGTGGATGAGGGGTGGGATAGGAAGGTGGAGGATGCGGGGCAGAGTGTCCCCGTTATGGATCTTTGGGTTGGGAGACATGAGAAGTTGTATTCGAGGATTTTTAACTCGTGAGGAGTTGTCTGGTGAGTGGGTCGCAGGAGGTAGCGGATGCGTATGGGTGCTACCTCGAACTTTTGTGAAATGTATGTCTTACGTCTTGCCGTTGTAGCGGATGCGTCTAGCCTTGCATCCCAAAGTTACGAAATGCACGAAGTTGATGGTGTTCAGACAGACTTCCATTCCAGCCACTCGTTGTCCAATCATCACCTCGTGGGCTCTCGATTCGCGCATGAAGAGCTCGGCTTACGGCGCGTGACTACAGTGTCCCAACGGCGCGGCAAGGCAACGATAATAAGAAAGGTATCTTGACAAGTTTGCTGTTCCACAAGAGCACAACTTGCTGGTTGATGATGCCCTTGGAGGGACTCTCATGCTTACTTGAATCCACTTTACATTCGCCGTGCTGGCACCATGTTCCTTCCAACGCTCACCAACTGGCTCACAGCCACCACCTTCTCTAGTCCCTCCAATAACGCACCCCAATCCCCTGTCCTTGACCCCGCTGTCAAGTTCCCGTGGATCCAACGCTTCGCCTCAATCGGCGACTCCTACGCCGCGGGCCTAGGATCCGGCACACGTCTCGACTGGTCATGCTCCCGGTACACTTCCTCCTACCCAAACATCCTACAAACCACCCTCCTCGGCCCCAACCCAAACCGCACCCACCAGTTCCTCGCCTGTTCCGGATCTACCAGCACGGAGATCCTAGAGACCCAGATCCCAGCTTTACAAGATAACCTCGACCTCCTCACCATCTCCGCCGGCGGCAACGACATCGGCCTAACACCCATACTAAGCAACTGCATCTACCAATTCTATCTGTCAGGCGAAGACGCCTGCCAGACAGCTATTAACGAAGCCCGAGCTCGGATAGCAAATGAAACAGAACTCTACCACAACGTCACTCTCCTCCTCAACGCCGCAAAACCAAAGATGAACCAACAACACGGTGTGATATACTACACAGGCTACGCCTCCTTCTTCGGCGCCTCAGACCCCACCTGCGACAACATCACCTGGGCCGTCTGGAAAGACGTCGAGTGGACAAAACAATACCTCACGCGCGCCCTACGCCAGGAGCTAAACGACATGGTCCGCGCCGTCAACGCCATCTTGCTCAAAGCCGTTAGGGACACTGGACCAAACGTCCGTTTTGTGGATTACGACGCGGAGGTGACCAGGGCAAAGGGTCGATACTGCGAACCCTGTGTCTTAGAACTAGAACCTAATCGCGCTGGCCTCGTCTTCTACGAGTGGAACACTGTAGATACGGGGGAGAATAGGACTGCGTTGCTGAATAGGACGGGTGGTGGTGTACCGAGGGGTTCGTTTGAGAGTGGGATTGCGGGGGATGTTGGGAGGACGGTGGGGGAACATCCGGGGTGGGAGGTTGATCCTAAGAAGGGGTTTGTGGATAAGAAGAAGGGGGTGGAGGGGGAAGGCTGGCTGGGTGATGGGATTCATTGGTTGTTGCCGGATAGTTATAAGAGAGTTTTTCATTTGAGGCCGGGGGGGCATGGGATCGTAGCGAAGCTGCTCTTTGAGGATTTGGAGAGAGAGGGGAGGGGGAGGGGTGGTGAGCTGGATGAACTTTAGGTTTATTCTACTTCTTGAACGACAGTGCTGGTATCCAACTCTTCCACCTCAGCTTCTCCTCCCTCAACTTCACCCCCACCATCCCCACCCCCATCCAAACCACCATCCCAATCCCAATCCACCCCCACCCCCTCCTCCCTCCCCCTCCTATCCATCTCCCCAATCCTCCCCCTAACATCCCCCAAACACACTCCTAGCAAATTCTCCCCCCACCACTCCCTATACCCCTCCGCCTCAAACGCCCTATACCCACTCCCCCACCCCC